TGGAGACAAAAAAATTAGATATCAAGCCAATTTTTGAACTCTCAAATCAATTGAAGCGTACTCCAGTAAGAACCTTCTGCATCGACCGAAACAAATGTGAGTCTGATGGTGCAAGGTCTGGGCTATAAAGCGGGCGAGTTAGGACTTCCCATCCGGTACTATAGAGAAATGTTTTCACGATTTGTGCCACATGCGCCTGACATTTGTACATGGTGGAATATCAATGACAATGCTCGCTTCAATCACATCAGCTGTTATCTGAAGAAAGCCCCGTCGATTGTCTGATTACTTTCCAGAAGCTCATTATACAGTATCCGGTTCTAGTTACACCAAATGCTGCCGTGGTTTATGCGTCGATGGTCCAGGAGAGAGGGAAGATGTTTGGTAAAAGTCGTTATCCAGGTCATGACGATTCAGACACAGACCAGGAGAGTGTAAAACAAATACTAACTCAAAGACAATGGGAAAAAAGCTCTCCAGCCGTACAAGCTAGCCATAAAGCATAAATAGTGGGCTACCTTGTAGAGAGTTCTTCTGTAAATTGAACGGTTAGCTACTATACATTTCGTACTGATCGAACGAAAATATCTGAATAGGCAGATGACATCAAAATAAGATAAGTACATGATGATCGTTTTAATCCGTATAAAGAAACGACTGCATTAGATAGAGCGGGTCGGTTAAGGCGAATTACATTCATTTTACTGCAAAATATGATTTATCGAAATGGGGGAACGCTGCCAAATAAGAGGTTGTAATGAAAAAAAGTATGACTTGTTTGAAACATTAGCTGGGGCCCGCTGCGTGAAAAAGTTACCAATGAAAAATTTCAATCAGCTTAGGATGATACCCATTCTTTCGATGATAATCACGACGACTATTTAAAGGACTGCTTTTTAGGGACATGTACCTGGAATGTCTCAACCCTTCTTCAGGAGGATACCTCCGCTGACATAACTACTATGCAAGTAATGCGCTGTACTGGCAAACCAAGAAATATGACCGGCCTGCGACGTTTAATATAGCAGCGTTGTAAAGCAGCGAAGGATGCGGTGTCATTTTAGAGGGGGAAGAGAGCGATTTCGCTCACCCCGAATAAGGAATTTACTGCCACTTTCCGAATCATGCAGGATTCCTCAATATTTTGTTTTTCTGCGCCCTGTTGCGGATATTAATATAGGGAACTGCATACAGAAACGGGACGTATCTTTCGTAGTATACACGGAGAGATCGAAAGACCAGCGAACGGGAAAAACGACAGAAAATTTTAAGAAAGGGTTTTATGACCAGGACGAACTCCTGTGACCGATGCCACATTGCTGGAAAACACTTAAGTCGCTAGAACTGACGGCCTATCAGCTGTGTTATTCAAGTACGGTGGCGAGGAGCTTATTAGGTGCATGCCTCAACTATTATGCAGAATATGGCCAGATGAAGGCATGCCAGATGACTGGAATTTAAAAAGAAAGGTGAATCCACCATATGTGCCAACTGCCTTTATAATTCGAAAATCCACAATGGAGCAGGTACTCTCCATACGTCAATATTATGCAAAAACAGCCAGAATAGGATCGACCATCACCGCCTATTTGTAAATTTCAAGGCCGCATTCGACAGCATGAAAAGCAGTTGTCTTGATCACGCGATGTCTGAATTTTGTATCAAGCCCCATTAGAATTAGAAGCAACTTCTTCGAGTCGTTTCATACCAAACGAGGTCTCCGACATAGTGACTACCTTTTGTATGATTTCTTTGGTATGATGCAGGGTTGTTGCGAATTTAATTCCGAAATAAAAGTCCTTTCCGGGTAATAAAAAAACCGCTAATCCACCATAAACACGTTTGGTATCAAATGAAAGAGGACTTAAATAGCTTTAAAAGTGAAACATCTAAACGAGGAAAGCCATATATTGAAAAATATTTTAATAAAAAATGTTAATTAAGTACCATAGAACAAACCTTGTGTCGAGTACATTAATTTCTTTAGTTTTAAATTATAAAAAAATATATAAATAGAGGGCGTTCCTTATTTCTGTATATAAGCTATTTCAGTCCTCTTTCATATGATAGAAAATTTGGACAGGCGGTTTTTTTTATTATCCGGAAAGCACTTTTATTTCGGAATAATATTCGCAACAACCCTGGTATGATGTTGGAGAAGATAAGAAGATCCGCAGAGCTGAATCGCTCAGGTAAAATTTTTTATAAGAAAGACACCAAGTATTAACGAAGAACTTTTTAATAACCAGCATTAGCACCAATAACAATGCCAACCTTGAGTCCCAAAGGAGTATCATTCTTACCAGCAAGTGCTGCTTTGAATTCAGTAGACAATTGAGAAATAAGGTCCTCTCCCGTCCCGATGGGCCGTTTAGCCCTTGAACTCTTCTAGAGAAAGATTCTGCGTGAAATTTACCCACCTTTGCATGTAGTCGACGAGAATACCGCTGCCGATAGAATGATGAGCTGGGCATGAATCACGTATGACGACAATCGTCTGAATGATATCGTGTCGAGATTGTATTGCTTCATGAAAACCAAAAATTGTTTGATCGTTTGTGCGATATCGTCAACTCGATTCCAGTTTTTCTTCACGTAACAGTAATAGTAACACGTAAGAGCAACACAAATGCTCAAATCAGTGTTTTTACGAGGTCGTTTTGTCAGTATCATTTGAACGACTATCGTTTCAAAGTTACGTGATTCATGCCCTGGTTTTACCACGACATATTAAATTGAATTAAGATATAGCGATTTCGCTGTATTTGTCTTGTCGTACGAAGAGGCGGAGAGGGATTTGGTTTGAATTTCCATTTCCAACTTGCATCAGTTGCTATAGAAGGGAACGATAGGCATATTCTATTGGACTCGGTCAAAAACGGCTTAGGATGTTACAGCGCCACCCAATGGGAAGAACGTAGCTAATTTTCATGGCTATTAGCTGCCGTAGGACGGCCGCTATTAGATACAACTTTTGCTACATTTTGATGCTCATCGTTGAATTCATCGTCGGAAGTATCAAAATTGGTAAAAGTGATACATTGATTTTCGATTGCAAAAATAGATTCTGTTCTTTTTACCGAATTCCATTGCTTGCTTACAAAAGTTCTAACGGGGTTCTTTGAGTCCATTGTTGAAAGTATGCGAGAAAATATTACATACAACTTGTAAGTTTCTGTAGGTATGTATGTGCGTCTGAGCTGAATGGGTTGGCAAGTTGTTTCGTATTTGTTAAACACTAAGTGTTGGCATATAGCATTTTGGGAAACATTTATGCCCACTTAAGTTGTGATATCACACAAATACATAGTTACATAAGTATGTATGTTGTTGTGCGAAAGCAATTCATTATTGTTGCCCGTACGTATATGTAGTAGGGTGGTCGCAAAATGCATAAGAAAAAATAAAAGTGCGAATTTAAATTCTCCCACCCCATAGGATTGTTCTATATCGAAAAAATATACCACTGTTTTTTTATTTCGAAATCAAAAAATATTTAGAGGTCTCTCAAAGTTTTCAAAGTATTTTATATGTGGGAAAAATGTTTTCCTACATATAGTATAAGATTCTTGAAAATCCATATTTTTGATTGAAAAACTATGTTTTCCTTCCGAAGTCTTTCAATAATGTAACTCAATTGTTTATTTTACCGTTTTTTAAGACTAACAGTTTTTTATATTACATTTTTTGGGTTTTTTTCAGAGACCTATGCGAAATAGCTACTGTTAAAAATATAAACAGAGAAAAAGAGTTTTCAGATCGAAAAATAGTGATCTTCAAGAATTCTATGCCACTTCTATGAAAAATTGTTTTTCCCCATATAAAATACATGGAAAACTTTGTGCGACATCTTAATATTTTTCAATTTCGAAATAAAAAAAGTTACATATATTTTCGATATAGAACAATCCTTGGGTGGGAGAGTATTGTAGCTCTGACTTTACTTTTTTTCGGACCACCACCCTAATGTATATGTACATGTTTGTACATACATGCGTGTATATAAGGAAACGAGTATTGAGCGCGCGCTGTAAGTGGTAGTTGATTATGGTTAATGTGCTGTTAAAGTGTTACCATTGTGCGTAAATATATGTACGTATATAAAAGTATACATGTGCATACTAATGTGAGTGTTTATGTATATATGTACGTAGATACATCCCCGTTTATCTCGTTAAGGTTGCTTGGAATTCCTAATGAAAACGACAAATTGTTTTGATTCGACTTGACATATAGACAGTTATGTTGGATTTGGCATCTATCCGTACGTACATAAGTATAAAGGTATGAAAATATAATAATAATAAAAGCATAATTTTGGGCGTAAACGCTTTGTCAATAAACCACTTACGAAATTATCACGTACTTATCACATTGTGCTGAAGTGTGTGTATCTATTTAGATATGATTCTACCACCAAATAAGTTAATACCTAGTTGTATTCATGTTATAGCCGCTGCGGTTATCTTACATATATTAATGCCCTATAACATTTAATTGCGCGACCTCTTAATAGAAATCCTCAATTGCAGGTTTCACAGTTGTGATTGCTTTCTGGGTTATTTAATAGGCCTCCTCGTATTTCAGTAATTTTTATAGACTGTCGCTTTTATTGTTGTAGCTGTGACTTTTATGATTATTACTGCTGGGTGAAATAAAAATATATGATTTTACGCTTTGTAATTTTACTCTTATTTGGCAGCGATTTGCATTTATATGTTTTGATGAACAAATATCACTGTATAAAAATAATAATCCTATGAGTTAATATTTTAAATATTGAAGCTTGCGAGTGAGTCATTATTTTTCTTGCTCTTTCCCGTGAAAAAGGTCTAGACGGATTTGGATAGAACAGCTTTTTGGCATAATTTTCAATGAGATATATATCAAAAAAAAAGCTGATTTTAACTTTGGAGTCCACTTTATTTTGACTATAGCTACGGGTCAAGGACTTTACTATAATCCATCTTTTATATTACTTATGTAAGGCAATTACTTACCTTGTATGAACCCAAATCTTGTACAACGCAAGTTAGAAACGCTTCACGCCCCACAGACGCTGTCACATTTGCAATTGGAAAACTGAATTTGGGATCCGCTGAAAGGTAACGAGATCAATGATTAAACAATTTTTTTTTTTTTAAATCAAATGTTTAGCTACTAAGATAAATTATATGGGAATAGAAATACACTACAATAACATAAAAAAATAGGGAAGTTTTTATACAATTTTATTTTTACAGGGCAATTGTGGCTAAGATAGTAAAAAGTGTTTCGTAAGACAAATGAAAGACTGTTGGTAAGATGGATAGTTCGAATTACTTTTGTTATTCTGCACCTTTTCCAACTGTCTTTTTTTTAAAAGAGAAAATGTATTTCAGAAAACAGCGGAAATGCATAAATGTATTTCAGATAAGAAACATTACAAATTAGTGTTTTTTTTTGTTCTACGAATGTCCCTATTTATTTCCCATGCAGAATAGCCCACTGATTCCGAAATTCGAGTTAATTTTTTATTCTTTGGATAAGTTTTTGAGATATTTTCAATTTACCGTTATTCAGCTTAAAACAAAAAGTGGTTCCACTTAACCACGTATATCTTACGAACTAATCCAACAATCTTAATACCAACTACGGAAAATCAAAGCTAACAAAATTCTTCATAATCCGTATATACTTCACTTTTCGATAGGTCTGATATTTTCTGACAAATAAATTAATAATTCCATATTTTTTTGTTGTTTTGATGAAAAAATAAAACAAAATTATCAAAATTTAGTAGGAGACAAATTTTGTAAATTTTTTGCAATTGTGTTAAAGCCTGTTCGGTTACAAAAAAAAAAAATCAAGCTACTAATGAAAAACGAAAGAATGTTACTCATACGCTATGTATGCCTGAGTAACCCTATTTTATTTTATTACAACCAAGGAATGAAACCGATTCAAAATAACGTTCCGGTTTGGGTTTCGGTTTTGCCAAGTGTTTCGGTTTCGGTTTTGGTTTCGTTCTTCAAAATTTATTTCGATTTTGGTTTCGGTTTCGTTCCGGATTCGGTTTTTCACAGAAATTTTGTTGATATTATTTAAATCACAATGTCTTAAACGTTGAGGAAAGAAAATCGAAAATTACAGTTCACTGATAATATCAACACTAGGTTCTTTCCCTAACAATCCGGACCGGATTTGGTAATTAGAGAATAAGAGAAACATTTTCTTTCAAAAATGGAACAAAGTTCAGAAGTACGGAAACGCAAAAACCCACATTTCGTGCCCACAAGTCGAGAAACAGCTGATTCACGTTGTTCTTGTTTTTGTCACTTATACCATGTTCTGACCGACATCGAAAACATGTTTTCGTTGCTAAAACTGGTTTTCGACCTAAAATTTGTGTTTTCGTCCATATAAAATCTGTTAAACGAAAACCAGTTTTCGCTGAAAACTACTTGAAACTCACTTTCCACTCATTCCAATCGGTGTCTTCACTAGTTTTTTTCGATTATTTATCGAAGTGGAAGTCATATTTTATCATCTTTAATACGCCATTTCGGATTTATTGATAATTGCCTGGCCAAAGCAAAATAAGAATGAAAGTTAAAGGTTGTAAATGAAAAGATAATGAAGGAAAAATGTTTTGGTTGTCGGTCAGAACATGGTATTAAATGCAAACACTTGGAAATTGAATTTTGGTTTCACAAATTTGATTTTAAGTACATAGATTGAAAATACATCAACAGGCCATTCACTTTTCCTTAAAAGCACCAAGTAAATGCAGGCAACATGTAAACACAATAAAGCTGATATGCACTTTGACACTTTATCCATTTTTACTCGGAGAAAATTTCGGGCTGTTTCAGGCAGGAAGCAGAATACACTTACGATCGAATAAGCTCGAATTTTCGCTCTCTATTACCCATTTTGTTGAGTACAGGCATGATTTCTGGGCTATTTTGGGCACACGCGGGATCTCGCATTGCGTACGGGAAAGAAACTACTTAAATATAATTAATCGATTATCGATTCACAACAACAAAGTCATCAGCAGATTTTTGCCCAAAGTTACCTTGCCATACTTATTTACTACTTAACAAGAATTTTAGCAAAATGTTGCTGATTTTGGTTAAATAAATCATTTATTTCAAAGAAATTTTTATTTATTATTTTTGTAAATTTCTGGAAACCGATTGAAACCTGTGATTGAAATGGTTTCGGTATCGTTCCTTTTCAGGTCAAGATAACGGTTACGGTTTCGGTTTCGCTTTTGAAAAACGAAACGGTTTTAAACGGTTACGGTCTCGGTTTGGGTTTCGGTTTCATTCCTTGATTACAACGCTTTTATCAACTTGCAATGTTGTATGTCCAGACCACCATTTACTATAAATATAGCAAAGGTATTAATGGAAAACCTAGTCTAGATATCAACCTCGTCGTAGGTATCATATCAAAGACATCATAAATTTTAACGTTGACGTTTTGGGGGTTAAAACCCTCGTCCCTCCCTCCCCCTCCCACCCTCAGGTCAAATAATATTTCACTAATATGGGTCTAGAAAAAAGGCTCCTTAGAAAAAAGTATGCGTAATAAAGTTTCAAACACGAATTTTTAAAATCATATTTTCAATTTTTCCTTTTATTTATAAAACATTTTGATAATTTTAAACACATTAAGTTTTTCTTTTTACTTATAAATCAATGAAACGAAGAATTTTCAAATTTTTCGTGGTTTTTTGAAAAATACTTCTAGAACTTCGTCAACTGAAAAATGTATATCTTTGTGAATATTCATAGATGCTAGACCGTTGAGCCTTTCTTGACTAGTTGTATTTCTCAAGTAGGTTTTAATTCTTTTCAGGCATGAAAAGCTTCGTTCAGGTGTGGCTATTGAAACGCGCAAAAGTGCCCATATACGTAAGATCTTAAAAACATTCCCAAAAGACGTTGTATTAGCTAATTGTAATGATTCGAGAGCATTTCGAAAATGTGCGTGTTAAACTCGTTTTTCCACATTTTTACCTCCAGAAGAAAGTTTTTTTTTCGAGCAGTCGAACGTTTTTCATTTTCAATTTCATAGATTGTTTATAATGACTTTTGCTAAAATTTCAAAATCAAAAGTTATCAAAACAAATTCTGTGGGACTGAGAAATATTATTTTCTACTTTTTAGTGCATTATAAAAGCGTTGTGTATTAAAATGTTTTTTTTTTTTTATTTATTCTGTTAATATTTCAAACAAAAAATCCTTGCGCATTTTCATTTTACCGCTCATTTATTTCTTATTTATCCAACGATTTTCTTCATTGGTAGCTTAATTTTTTTTTGTAAAGGAACGGGCATTCATAAAAAAAATTAACAGAAACCCGTTATTCGTTTATTTTTCCCTTGCTAAAGTTTGAACTTGTTTAAATTCTTTCGTAAAAAAAAAACAAAAAATCTGGAGTGATTTATTAATTTTTCACAAACTGTCACGCCTATCGAAAAGTGGTGTATATGTATACGGTTTATGGAGAATTTTTTTTTGGCTTTAATTTGCCGTATCGTATCGTATGACGATTGTTAGATTGGTATCGTAAGATATATTTACGTGATTGAGTGGTACTATTTTTTTGTTTTAATCCGAATACCGGTAAATTGAAAATATCTCGAAAACTTATCCATAGAATCAAAAATTTACTCGATTTTCGGTATAAGCGGGCAATTCTACATACGAGTTGCATCCATTGAACATTTTTGCAGTAAACCTGTGTTATTAGTACAGTGACGAACGGTGTGGAACGCGAGCAAACACCGATTGCTTACCAACTGTCATTTTGATGGATAGTTGCGAGCAATATGATTGCAATTTTATGTGTGTGGGCACTTTGATGGCTTGATATAAAAATTTTGCCACATAAAGCCACCAGACAAAATTCTATCTATTTCCGGGCTTGGAAACTGTGAAATTCTAAAAGACTTTTCTAAAACGTAATATTAAATAATACAATAGGGAACAGCTTCTTATTTTGATTTAATATCAAAATTTCATCGATGTTACCGCCAACACGCTTTGAGTGGTGTTGTCTAGAAATTTTTATCGAGAATGAGTTCACCTCAATAACAACTTTCCAAACAATACCATTCTGTAACCATGAAAATGTACAAATCGTGTGATCCCTGCTTTAGATTTGAGTTTTTCTCAAATAAATTTGCGGTTTTCTGAAATAAAATTGAACTTTAGTGAAACACATTTGTTCTTTTCTGAAATACAATTGGAAAAGGTGTGGTTAAAATTCTTAAAAAAAGAAACCTTTCTCATTCAACATTCGTGATGAAAACCTACTTTGAGAGAAAACACTTGTATAACATTTAGCTCGCCTTGTTTCACAGTTGTAATGGTCGAGTGAGCAAAACACTGGTGCGCCTTTCGAGCGATGACGGTTCGAAGTCTCCTGCAGAACATATTTTTTTTCTTATAATGCTTTATTTTTTAATTTCATTTTCTTTTTATTATTATATTTCAATGACTTAAAAGGAAAAATGTATTGAGCCATAGTTAGTTTTTAGATTTCAGTTACTTTTTATTATTTATTTTTTTAACTTTATGGTTTTAGAAATATTGGTTTTATATTTCTATAAAATTTTTAGAGACTTATTTTATTTATTTTATTATTTTATTAAAGATTTTTTATATTTTCAATTGAATTTTTTGTTTTAAAAAGAAAGATTTATTTTATTGATTTAATTTTTAAGATATTATGTGATATTTTATTTTGAAATTTTACCTTTTTGTCATTTTTAATTTAATTTTCTTCTCTTCTGATACAATTTTTCCTTTTTCCAATTTATTTCTTTTTAAATTTTTAGATTTATTTGTTTTACAAAATGCATATTTTTTTTGAAATTTCATTTAGTTTATAATAACATTTTTATTTATTTTTTCTTTATTTTTATTTTATTGTATTTTCTTTTTCTTTTTTTTAATTTAGTTTTCATTGTTTTTAAAAACTCATTGCTAAGAGGTGAACAGCATAGACTTTTGTCTTTCTAAAGACTGTCGTGAGTTGAACGAGAGTTGCCAGAATTGCCTTGTTAGCTTGCATTTTATTTTTAGAATGTAAACAAATTTAATTTAAATTAAAAAATGGTTTAGGTTTATTGTCTGCTTCGTATATTTTCTGATGTACAAGACTGATATTACTAATAAAAGATCTTTTTGGTCTTTTACGAAAATTATGACGAATACATAAATGAAAATTATTTAATGTCTTTTTAGGAATTATAACATTTAAAGATTAATAAAATTGCGTTTCCCTTAAAGTACACAATTGATTACAGTTAATCAAATGTTTAACATTTTTTTTTTGAGTAAATCTTAATACTTACTTATCACATCGGCAGCAGTTTCAATTAAATTGAAATCATTTTCATGGCACATAAATATTAAAACAAATAATATACTCGCTGCCGGTTGGGTCAATAGCCTTGTGAAATGTGTAGCTCGCATCGACGGCATTGCGCTTTGTTTGATTTTATCTACCTTTTTTATTTGCACTTATTTCCATTGAGTTTATTTTTTAATTTTTGGCATACTGTTACAATATGCTGCATAATTCATATTTGTATGTATGTATTTAGTTGAATCATCCTTTATAAAGTTGTACACGCAATCACTGTATGCATTATGGCCATGTTGCCACATTGTTTCGATTATAAATAGTAGCTGAAAAGAAATAAAGAAATGCATATGTACATTCAATATCATTAACATAACAATACCTGTATAAATAACAAGTATAAGTCATTTTATTTTATTATGTATGTAAGTGGTTTTTATAAGTGTAGTAGCATTCACACCCTGCAACATCTAGTTACATGCCCCTCATACTGCTAGTTTCGGCTGTTTACTCATTGCAACTGTTACTTTTCTATGTTATATACTTTTAAGCCCCCTGCTTTTCATTTAGAGAATTGTGGTGACGAAAATTTAGCGTAGCAGTTGTCAGATTTCCAATGCCGTATGTTAGTATATACAGCTTATTAACTCGAAGACGTTCGTCACGGGTGAGAAATTTTGTTCCAAACAACGAAAAAGGTGTCGGCAAACATCTTTTTAAGAAATTATTTTACACGCCAGTGCAGAATTGCAGGCATGCGATTAGTAGTTGTTTAAAACGCAAAACCACTGATACAAGTTATTCAAGCATAAAGTGTTGCATACTTCTTGGCGTACTATTTGTAATATTGGTAAATGAGAAAATTTATTGAACTGATTTTGGTCTATGAATTTAAACCCAAAGTTTACATATGCAAAACTATGGTAAGTTGAGGGGTCCCTGAACCCTATTTGCATCTCAATCAGCATGCTCACTGTAGGAGGAGGTTCACGAACTCTGCTCTGTATGCGTTAGCTATGTAGCTAGAATATCCCTTTGAAGTTGAGGACATAGCATTTTGCACCTACCTTAATATAGAGGGGACCTTCGACAACCCACGACCTTATCGAGAATTCTCTGTGAACAAATATTCCCAAAAGTTATATAGCAAAGCAAAAACCATTTTTCCCTTTTTTTTGTTTTGCTTGTTAAATTATAGGAAGGATTTATTCACATTGAGTTGGTGATAAGGTTAAAGTTATTATGTTAAGTTCACACAAAAGCAAAGCTGCTGGTATTCACATTGAACGAGGCAGAGCGGAGCTTTTTGCATAGAAAAGCTTATCTTCAATGAACAGTGGTTCAAGTATTTGTTCATTTTGCTTCAATGGCTTTCTCTAAAACCACATTTTCAATTACATATTTTCACTGTCTTTTCGCATCAGCGTAATGAAGCTGAAAAATTAATAAGCTAGTTGAAAATCAAACAATGCTCTACTTTCAGCTCAAAAACACATATGAAAAACCTTGCTATATAAACACATTAATATAATAACCATAATAACACTGTACGGCAAAATAAACTTTTTTTCTGGGTATTGAGCCAAACCAATTTTTTTAAGAGATTGAGTTATAGGTAAAAAAGTAGTTTATCCGTTTTTTGAAGTTAGCCTCCGAAATCAAGATATGGGCCTTAAAAGTTCGAAATAGGACCTTTGGTAAAAAATTATATTTAATTATTGCATATAAATAACTAAAAACCTGAAAATACGGGCGTAGTCCTCCTATTGCTCTTATTTAAATGGTATATAACTTTTTTTATGCAAGCTTATATTACAGGTTCTATAAGGGGTAAAATTTCAGGTCTTCGAAAAATTTAATTTCCTATATTTCAAACAATTTTGAACTGATTTTTAAAAATTTATATCGTTGTAAAGGTGATTAAACCCCCTTTATTCGATGTGCATATTTGTACACTACTCACGAAAAATTTTAGATAAAACACATTTAAATTAAAACAGTACCTTTTTTTATAAAAAAAAATATATTCAACAACTTTTATTGAGCTTGAGACCGTTTTTTAATGAAAACTTATTGTGGAAAAGCAACAATAATTTGAAAAAATGGTAGAAGTGATAGCTATTTCGGAAATCAACACATTTCCTCATCAGACTTCTTTCAGTAGGATTCGAACCGACGATCTCACTGACTCAGCCAGTTGCCTACGCACTGTGCTAAGTTCGCCTTGTTAATTCTTGTCGCTTATTTCCACTATTTTAATATGATTTGGAGCAATTCTAGTTGTTTTTATAGTTTTTCGAATTAATGCAACTTGTTTCAATTTTCTTGTACAACGCCAAGTGTGAAACGTCACGTGACGTAGCACAATAAAAATACCGAGTTTCGTACAAATTGGTGGCACGGTTACCGAGATACATACATGTGATCATAAGTGGGCGGTGCCACGCCCATTTTCCAAAATTTTATCATAAACTCATTCCTTGGTAAAGAATTGTTGCAAGCATCACTTTTGAATAAATTAGCTTTAATATTTACTGATTTATCGAAGATTTTGTATATCTCTAAATTACCGTTATATGGGATGTGGCCGTGGTTATTGTCCGATTTTTTAAACTATCGGCCATTTAGTATGCTGTACCAAGGTCGGCAACTGTGCCAAGTTTGGAAGACATTGGTGCAGCGGTTACCAAGATATACACATGTAACCATAAGTGGGCGTGGCTACGCCCATTTTCCAAAAATGTATAATATTCTTATTTTTCGTCTGAAAATTATTGTAAATATCAATTTTGAGTGAATTATCTTTAGTAGTTAGTAAAATTTCGTAGTTTTCGTATTTCTGGAAATTACCGTTATATGGGAAGTGGGCGTGGTTACTGTCCGATTTCGCCCATTTTCAACCTTCATGCCAAATTTCGTTGAGATATCTCAATTTTTGCTCGAGTTATCGTGTACACGGACGGACGGACAGACGGACAGACGGACGGACAGACAGACATGGCTTAATCGATTTCTCTATTCATTCTGAGCATTTATGTATAAATTTGTCTATACCTATCTCGATTCGTTTTGGCTGTTACAAACAACCATTATGTGAACAAAGTTATAATACCCTTGTGCACAAGTGCGCTCGGGTATAAAAATAAAAACAAAGACGCGTACATATAAAGGCAAAAATGAAGACCAAGGTAAAATTTAAACACTTTACTTACATATATAAGGGCAAAGGTGAAGAAAATGATGAATATAAAAGTAAAGACAAAGAGGAGGATGAGGATACCGATAAAAGTTAAGATGAAGATAGGGGAAGAAAGATTGAGATAAAGGTAATTAAAGAGAAAAATATATAGAGACACAGATACTCAATCTGGGAACTATTTTGGGATTTTAGAGATTTTCGGGATTCTCGGGACATATCGATAAAATAATCGATATTTTTATCGGTTTTGTTATCGATATTTTTATCGACTTTTTTATCGCAATTTTTATCGATATTGTTATCAATTTTGCTATCGATACTTTCGGAACTTATGGATATAATAGTCTATATTTATATCGATTTTGTTATCGATATTTTTATCGATTTGTTACCGATTTTGTAATCGATATTTTTGACTATTTTGTTAGCAATATTTGTTATCGATATTTTTATTGATTTTGTTATCGATAGTTATAGATTTTGTTATCTATATTTATCGATTTTGTTGTCGATATTTATCGATTTTTTAATCGATATATATCGATTTTGTTATCCGTTATGTTATCGATTTTGATATCGATATTTATCGATTTTGTTATAGATATTTTTATCGATATATTTAAAGACTTTTTATCGATTTTGTTATCGATATTTTCATCGATTTTGTTATCGATATTGTTGTCAATTTTGCTATCGATATTTATCCAAATTATTATCGATATTTGTCGATTTTGTTATCAATATTTATCGATTTTGTTATCGATATTTATCTATTTTGTTATCGATGTTTATCGTTTTTGTTATCGATATTTAGCGGTTTTTTTCGTTAGGATAACAAATGTAATTAGATAGAAAAAAGATAAAATATAACCTTAAGCAAAAGCAGATGCATGTATGTATGTATATTGGTTATGAGACAAAATAGATATGTATGTAACGTAAGTTTCACTTCTCCAGTGTGGCCAAGGCGCATTTACTTTTTTATTTCTTTTGTCGTGGTGGACCTTCCGATCGAAACACCCATATATGCATGTAAAATGCTGTGGACATTAGATACCAGTCAGAGGTTTACATTTAGATCGCAGCAGCTTCGATACAAAACGCCTTAAAACGGAGCTTATTAGTTAATAACAACACGATAAACATTCTAAAATAATTTTGAAGTTTCCGAGCAGTTGCTTATCAAGGCCAGGGCACTCTGCAAACAAAGCGAGATTTTTTAATACCAAATATATTTATACCATTTCGTCTTTATTTGTTACTGCGCTCAAAATATATTTAACAAAGTGTAATTGAAGTTGACAGTCTAACTTTTTTGTGTTTTTGCATAAGATCCACCATTTTGAATTTTCCAAATTTAACTTCAGATTTCTAATCACCAACCCCCAAAAATGCCTCTATACAAAGTTTGAAAAAAAAAATGTTATCATTTTTTTTAAAAGTCATCTGACATATTGGATCCTCCATTTTAAGTTTTTAGCATCTCACTTCAGATTCGTAATCCGCGAGCCCAAACATTCCACATAGCTTTGCCACTTTTAATAATTTAGATGCTACCGGATCAGGGATCGAACCTAGGTCCTACGGGGAAGTATTATGCACCTCTACCCACTCAGTCACAGCGGCTACCATGCCTTTATTGTCTACCCTGGATTTCAAGTCGCTAAGACCGATTTTAACATGTTGGTGGGGGCAGCGTTCATACGCATCTCCTTGGCGCTAATAGTTAGAACGGCCTCTGGTCCATTATCGTCCTTTACCTCGGTCGGTGCGTGCCCGCAAATTAGGCTGATGTTATTGAATTCAGTATTTATGCGGATTGTGGAAATTCGTTTACTGTTGGTCGTGAACTTGGATACAAAGAGTAGTAGTATTTTGAATTTCCTTGCAAATTTAAGTGCCATAGTGAAAATCATGTCACAATTAAGTACTGTGACCTTCAAAGGTTTGTATTAATTTTATGAAAAAAATGCATATTTTCCCTGCTATACACTGAATCTGCTGGCATAAAACTAGTTGCTTAAATAATTGTACAGCCACTTGAAATAAAGTTAGCAGACAATTGAGCGCTAATAAGACGGTAAATAAGAGCAGCAAAGAAATCAACAGCTCAGCAGACAAT